GCTGCAGAGGGGCCCTGGGAGGGGCTGCCACCACCAAGGGGGGGCTGGGAGGGGGACAGCCACCCTGCGCCTCCCCTCCCCCTCTTGCTTCTCCTCTCGCCTCTTCCCTGGTCCCCCGCCCTTCCCTCTCCACCCCTTTGCTCTCTCTTCTCAGGTCACCTCTCCTTTGATCTTCGTCCTTTGTTATTTCTTCCTGGTTTTTCTCCGGTTCCCATCGCCCTCTCTCCCTCTCTCCCTCTCTCCTGGTGCTCCTGGGCGTCACCTCTCTCCTCTGCTTCCCAGCCTCCCGCACCCTCTGGCCTCCCTCCCTTCACGTCCCCACTCAGGGTCGCCCCACACACCTTTCCCCACCTCCCAGACCTGCTAACCTGTGCWTTGTCCCAGGGTGACTGAGAGGGAGAGTGGACACAAAGAGGCAGAGAAACCACAGGGTCAGGACCTGAGGGGATTCAGCTCAGAGTTCCAGCCTCGGGTAGGAAGGGCCTGGCATCCTCAGGGGCTGCCCACTCTTGGCCCCATTTCTCCAGCAGCAGGGAGCTCTATCCCTGTCTGTCTGTCTGTCTATCTCTGTCTCTCTGTATATCTATGCATATAGATAGTTTATTCATTGTTTAGTCTATAATTACATCCAATATGCTCCAGAACTTCTGCAATGAGCCTTATGATGCTCCAGAGACCACAGAGGAGGTCCAGAATTTGGATGATTACTAGGAGGTAGATTTGTATCTAGATGAATAATTGTGTTAAAAATATTTATTGATGTTTTATTGTCAGCAAAGATAATCATAGTAGCGCTGGGGATGTGGCTTAGGGGTAGAGCACTTGCCTACATCTATATCTGTCTATCTAGATAAATATAGGTAGATATCGATTTTGTTGTTCTGGTACTGGGGATTTAACCCAGGAGCATTCACCACTGAGCCACATCCCCAGTTCYTTCTTGTATTTTACTTAGAGACAGGGTCTCACTGAGTTGCTTAGGACCTTACTAAGTTGCTGGGGCTGGCTTTGAACTCTCCATCCTCCTGTCTCAGCCTCTCGAGCCACTGGGATGACAGGTGTGCACCACTGCGCCCAGCTCAGGGAGCTCGATATTGAGCAAGGTTCCGATTCCTCTTTAGGGAACCTCTACCTGGTTCTACTGTATATTGTTCCTAGAATGAATGAAAGGTCCCAACTGATGGTTTTAACCCTTTACCTTATTGTCAAGTCCACTGGGCAGGACAGCACAGAAGGACCTTAGGATCTGGTAGGTTATCATAGTAGTGAAAGTTAATTCACCAGGGAACTG